CGGCGTCGACTGTAAAATAATGAAGATTTCTGTTTACATTTCTCCGTTATATGTTGGTATTTTATAAATTTAAATAGATCTAAGTTATTTAAGTAAGTTCTTGTGTAGTAGTCGCATATTATATCTTCTGAGTGTTCGTTTTTTATTTTAAAATGACTAATATATATTTTAAATATTAAAATATATATTTATATATTTTAATTCTTTTATTTTCTTATAGTTTCCTTCCTATAATGCGTTTCTTGATTAAAGATAAAAGGCGTACCTTTGTCAATTTACTTTCATATATAAGTATTGCAACATTTTATTTGTCTGATATAAAGTAAAAAATTTAATATTTTGCCCTGTAGAGTGATGTGGCAAAGCTACGCTGCAGCTATGCTAACTAAACATAGCTCCAATACAAATGGATCAGCTCGTACGGAGTCAGGAGGAAACAAAGAATGTAACAGAATTTTTTTATACATAACGGCTAGCTGACACATAGCGCGTTACTGCCGTAGAAGAAATAATTATGAAAATAATGTTTTAAATTTTGAAGAGTTATTTTTTTTAATTAGGAATGATAATACATTCATTCAATGATACATAACTTTCAAATAAATTTGTTGGTAAGATAAACGCGCTACCTTCTGTAAGTTCATTGTACCATGCCTATAACCTCGAGTAAGTGCAAGCAATAAGTTTTAAGGGAATGTGATGAACGGTACGGCAGTGCACAAAATACGAAAAAACAAACATTATTTTTTTATTATAGGAAAAACGTGAAGAGAAAACGTTCTAGCCCATTCTGAGTATGTTTGGAGCACGGAGCTATGTGTGATTTGGCACAGGCAAAGTTCATGAGGAGAAGGAGGGAAAAATGCTAATGTTTAAGTTCACAATACGTCAATGTCAGTTGTCAAACACATAATAGTCAAGGAGTTATATATAATCACTTCAGAAGACACTCCGTTTTCATAATAGTATATAGTATAATAGTCGCACGAAATAGACATAGTCGTCAAAGAATTTTAAAAAGTTTCCAACAATATAATTGCTGACAGAATGACTGAATGCTGTATTGATTTTGTAACTTTGAGTGATTTCTAATGTTCCTTTTTCGATAGTCCGTGGAGTGTATCTCTGGACAAAAAAGCCTAAATTTTTATTTTGTGTATTAAATATCTGTATTTTATATATTAATATGCAGTTGAAAGCATAGACAAATATCACGTATCGTAGTATATATTTAAAATCTGAAAGAGAAATACAGCTTCCTTACCATAAAAACTTAAAAATTTAATAAATTATGGTCCAATTTCGATCACTGGCCGACCATTAGTAATAATTATTAAGAAAAATTTCTCACCAGTTTTAGTCTTGTAGTTGAACTGTTGTTGTGGTACGGCACCTGACAATGCCAGGGCCACGAGTCCCGCCAATACCAACAGCGTCTTCATTATTCCCAGTCCAGAAGAAAACTGTGCCCGATCAAGTTGTCAATTCATCTTTTATAGTTCAAGCTTATCTAACATATCAACATCTAAAATGTAATTATTCTTATTTAATATTTTTCTTTGTTTATCAATTAACCTTTCACCTTTATCTCATTATTAATGTTTAGTATTAGTTAAAAAAAAAGATTTGATAGCGTAACCGTGATCTCTATAAGTTACTAAACGAACACAACAGTGTACAACAACTGTACAACACACAGAAGTGCAGCCAGGTAATGCAGCTTGGCGGCAAAACTATTATAAGAGTGTGATATATGAAACAAAGCAGCTTTAGCTGGTATGAACTGAGGCTTGTCTCCCAGTATGATCCTATGTTTGTACAGTAGCATAATGAGGCCGAATTTTACCTACGCCTCCATTGTTTAGTGCAATAAGGCCAACCAAAAGACTACTGCGGATAGGCTAAATAATCTACAAAGGACTGCCTATTAAATGGCAACTGGAGCGATGAGACCCATGCTCCACTCAGTAAAGGAAACACCGACCTTAGGCAAAATCTTATATATCATGCGTCCACTATACACTTTTAATAAAAATTACATTGTTGAACTACCCTCCAGAAAAGACAACTGAACCTGTTCAGGTTATCTGTGAGCTCGGTAGCCTTATATGGTATATCGATTTGACGGCTCCATGGCGCAGTGACTTAGCAATGAGTTGCTGCGCTGGGGGCTGCGGGTTCGAATCCCGCACGGAACAAGTATTTGTATGACCTACAAATAATTGTTCCGGGTCTGGATGTTTGTCCTTGTGCAATTTGTGTTTGTAAACTGCCTACACGATACAGAAAAAAATCACAGTGTGGGGTAACGTTTAAAAAAAATAAAAAATAGGCCTCGACGTAGGCTTATTCAAACTCAGTATGAATTTGGGTAAATTCGCCTCTATCTTCTTCATACTTCAGTGTGCGGATCAACCTGCAAAAACACTACGTTAACTATATTATCCATATAAACTCTGATAATAGTCAAGCAGTACTGCTAGCCCTGAGATCAAACTTAATGAACTCGAAGCTAGCTGAAGACTGCGTGAATCGTCTAAACGCCCTGGGGTGAAACTACAGGGTCGTTTTGAGGTACGTTTCAGGGCTTAAAGAGTACATAATTTGGACCGAGTCATTTTGTTGAATCTTAAAATGCCTAGCCCCAATGACCCTTGAAACTCTTTATCACAATAAATCACTTAAGATCTGGTCTGATACACCAGGCAATGTTTTAACATTCAAAAACTTTAATCTGGTCAGAAGTCCTGGAATTAATGATAAAAACTGCGTATTCTGGTTAGAGCCCTGACTGGACACTGTTGTCTAAAAAGCACATATGGACATGTGCCTTTTCGGCTGGCCTGTGCTAGGACTAAACAACTCAAGGATGTGCCGATACTGTTCTGCACATCCTAACTGATTGTGGGCTCTTAATGCGCATGACCTGCATAGCAGCTCGCATACAAAAAAGTGCCTTAAGGTTAATTCTTGTTAGTCTTAGGATATTACCTATAATATTGGTGGTGCTGGCATGATGCATGGCTCGAACCGGGGTGGTACCACGACCTCACAGAATACCAGCGTGAAGTAGAGGTTTACCTCTGCGTTTCGCTTGGTGAGTGCAGGTGGCCGGAGGCCCTTTTTACTGGAAATGAGGCATTCCATCTTAGTCCTCACGGGTGACAACGCATCTGCATTTTGATTCGCAAACGAGGATAGATGTAGATGTCTATGGGCCGCAGCAACCACTTACCATCAGGTGGACTGTGTGCTCGTTTGTCACCCTTATCCTACAAAAACAAAAAAAAACAAAAAAAAATGATTTTAAGAGTTAATTAAAATAACTTTTCCTCAGTACTATTTATTTGTATTATTATTCCATATAATACCTTTAACCTTAATGCCCACTTGGATTCTACTTTCTCGTAATTTTTTACTTTCTACTGCAGTTTTGTATTCATTTCTATAACTTATATTAGCACAATTCTTACTCCTCTCTATTCACGATTATACGGGCGCAAGCAATCATGATTATTATTAAATACGGGTGTTTTCAATATCTAGCTATTAGGTTCATATTTGGTTTATGAAAATATGACCATGTCTCTGATATCATTACGCTTTAAACTCAAGTGGTTACCCATTCGCATTTGCCGGAAACTAACTTTCTTGGACATGACAGACCGCATAACTTATACTCGCGTCACATTCTTATAGAACTAACTAATTTAAGAATTCCTTCACGGTCAAAGCCATCTGCTTATGGAAGGAACTTCCTCCTTCGTGAGAAAACACTGGGTAAGTTTAAGACAAACGTCAAAATTCATTACTTATCACCCTCTCTCCAATAATCTCTTATTATCATTAGCGACATTTACATTTTTATTCCCCTTTAACATTTATTTATGAAACTTTTATGCATATTTGCTTATTTAATATGCCATTTTTCACTTGTTTTTCTGTCCGCCAAAATGAGTGAATCTAACGAAGAAAGAAACAGACAAGAAAGGGAAAAATGTGACTCTAGCCACGAAAAACATTTGTGGCGCTTATTGACCTAACGCAGCGTTAGTAAGAGTAGCACAAAGTTGGTTGAAGCGTTTCCAATCGATGCCATTTTTGAAAAAATGGAACAAGTTGAATATTAGTAGTTACTATACTATTAACTTAGTAGAGGAATTGAGGATTTACCACAACACAGTTTTGACCCAATGTAAAAAGTCTGGCTATACAAAAACGCTCGATATTTGGGTATCACACGAGCTCACTAAAAGAAACCTATTGAATTATGTACTCACTTGCGATCCTCTACTGAAACGTAATGAAACCGAACCGTTTTGGAGAAGATTGATCAGACATTGAGAGACAAGAACGTGCAAAAAACTTCATGGTCAAAAGGTAGTCAAGCTCCACAGACCGTGGCTAAACCCGAATTAACACACACAACGCTAAGGTGGTGCTGTGTGTATGGTGGGTTTGGAAGGGCATCGTCTATTATGAGCTTTTACCGCCGGGCAAAACCATCGATTCTGATCTCTACTATCAACAACTAATGAGAAATAACCAAAAAATTGAGAAAAAAATGCCGGAATTGACCAACAGAAAAGGAGTGGTCTTATATCACGATAACGTCAGACCACACACATATTTGGCCACTCAGCAAAATTGAGAGAGCTTGGTTGGGAAGTGTTAATGCATCCACCATATATCACCACTCGTATTTTCACCTGTTTCGGTTTTTTCAGAATTCTTTGGGTAGTGTTAGGTTAACATCAAGAGAGGACTGTCATAACTTCTTCTTCTTCTTTTCCCTGGCAATTGTCCCAATTTAATTGCGGCCAGCCCTCCTAGTAATCTAGCGCCACATCGCGTGATTGTGGGTTGTCGTTTCTGGTATGTTTATAGATTTCACATCTTGATTTAGTGTTTGCAACCAGGTTATTGGTGGTCGTCCACGGCCTTTCTTCCTCTCTTCTATGTTCATAACTTTTTAGTCACATAGTCATCATCCCGTCTCATCACGTGTCCGTACGGTTTTCTCTAAGCTTTTCGTACACCATAGCAACCTTGAAACTACCACGAATATAATAGTTTCTTATTTTATCCATTTTAGAAACTCCTCCAGACCAACGTAACATTTTCATCTCAATGACGTGAAGTTTTTGTTCGTCCGTCTTTCTCATCGGCCAGCACTCCGATCCATATAGCAGAGCTGGTTTTACTGGTCTTTTGTATATATTGCCTTTTATTTTAATAGGGATACGGGAGTCGCATAGAATGCCAGACAGCGATCTCCATTTTAACCAAGCTGTTTGGGTTCTATTTTGTATATTTCTTTCTGTACAAGCCTTTGCTGCTACAATGGACCCGAGATATTTAAACTCTTCAACTCTTTTAAGAGGTACACCTTCGATAGATGAACATGGAATAACATCCATATTGTCACCAGAAAAGTTACAGTACATGTATACAGTCTTCTCTCTATTCACTCTCATCCCTCTTCTTTCTAAGGACTCCTGCCATACTGTCAGGTCTGATTGTACTTCTGTCAACGATTCGGCTATGAGTTCTACATCATCGGCGTATAGAAGTGACCACGGTGCTGGTTTCTGAATGTTCATAGTGATATAGTCCATTACTAGGTTGAATAGGAGAGGGCTTACGGTCGAGTTGTTTTTGATATTTCTCTTTTGCATTCCAGTTTGGCATTTTCAAACAGGTTACAAGTAGTCTGCGTTGGGTTGTTAGTGGGATCCCTGGTATAACTTTAAAGTCCCTGAAATTGCGAAGAATAGATCTGGTACTGTTCGAGACGGCCAAAATGACTGTTCACAACGGCAAAAATGACTTTAAACGAGAAAGTGATTAAGGAATATTTATTTGTTTAAAAAAATGAAAATACGGAAAAATTGACTAAATAATGTATTAAATATAGTTTTACCATGTATTTACAACTCTCAATATGTTTGTATAGAAGGTCGATTTGACAATAGTTAATATAAACAACTTTATTTTGTTTAAGAAAATATCGACCAATCACAGCGCGCCGCGCTATAGAACTTTCTGGAAATTTAAATTAACTGCGTAATAGTTTTAAGCAAAAAATTAATGAGAATAATTTTATGTCTGAAAAGAGTTGTAAATATGGTATTTAGTTAGCATATGAAGTATAGATCGTTATAATAAAGAAATATTTTGTATAATTAAGCACGATTTAAAAGTTATAGGATAATTAAAGAATTAATATGACCAATTAGTGTAAAAGTTTAGGACATTTCAATGAATAACTTTGTTAAATGTAAATATATTAATTATCCTTTATAGCATACTAATGTAGAACAAAAATGTCTATTTAATGATGTATAGCATGTTAGAGTTAAGATTTGTATTATATAGAAAAGTTGCAATTTGTGCCATTTGCATAAAGAAAAATGATTGAAAATAAAGAGGCAAATGGGAATTGGCAAGCGGCTCTCTATAGAGTATAGCCGAAGTCTACCTTATGGGGGCAAATCACAGTAACATTGTAGTAGGAAGAACTACCAGTAACAAGCAGCAGTATCCGGTAGTAGCTGAAGTGACTAGTAGCAGAACACAGTGAAAAGTTAAAGTGAAATAGAAAAGTTTAGCTAGCCGAAAAAGGTCGTAACTGAAAAATCGCAGTTACACATAGTCGGAAAAAGTGGCAACTGAAAATTCTCAGTTGCACATAGAAAAATAGTGTCAGCTAGCCAAAAATAGTGGTAACTGATATTCGCAGTTACATATAGTGAAAAAGTGTTGGCTAGCTGAAAAAAGTGGTAACGGAAATTTCGCCGTTACATTTCGTGAAAAGTGTTAGCTAGACGGAAAAAGTGGTAACTGATATTCGCAGTTACAAAAGTGTTTAAATTCAACTAATTTTAGTTGATTAATAGCTGCTAGTCAGTAGTGTTAGAAAACCAGCTGCTACCAATAGAAATTTTGGATACTACCAATAGAAATTTGTTACTTTCAATAGATATTTAAAATTACCAATAGAAATTGTAGAGAATACCAATAGGAACTTGTTACTGCCAATAGAAATTTGATATTACCAACAGATATTTTAAAAATACGAATAGAAATTTTAGAAAACCAATAGAAATTTTAATATTATTGTGTGTTTAATTAAATCTGTGTTTTAAAATATATAATGAACAATCATAGTTGAAAAATAGTGATAAATAAATAACAGTGTAAAATCTCGCGACAAATAAATTAGTCGATCCGCTGGCCACTCCCTTGCTATTTTAATTTACAAATCGTGCATTTTAATTTTGAACCTCAGTCCACAGTTTATCCGCAGCAACCGAAGAGACGGCAGTGAAAGACGGCAGTTGGAGGAGTCTGGAACCTACAGGTGTAGGACGTGAGCGACTCGCGGGGTATCTCCGACAACATTTACTCCGGAGAGTTACGCCCGTCCGGCACATTTTATGGTCCTTCGAGCCGGATTCTTCCGTTTAAACTCCGAGCCGAGGCCAACATTTTATGGTCCTTCGAGCCGGATTCTTCCGATTGAACTGCCAGCCGGAACATTTTATGGCCCTTTGAGCCGAATCATCCGTATACACCGGACCACATACGCTGGTCATTCGAACGGGATTCGTCAATCCGTTAGTATTTCGGAACCGGGTAAATAATCACTACCGTTTTAAAGTTGCTGAAATTTCAGAATCAAGATGCCGATCACTCGTTCGCAAGGAAGGGGAACCATGGCGTGGACTGTCGGTCTGGATGATGGACCGTCGGACAATACCGACACCGTCCGCCACCAGATGCCACCACGCTCACCATCCACAACAGAAGGCGCTGAGGCGCCAGCTTGCCCCCGCGATGGGGTGGTACTCCTGCCTGTGCCAGCCGTTGTTAAAGCCGGTACACCGAAGCAGAGAGAACAGATAGCTTGCCCCTGCGATGGGGGGGTACACCTGCCAGTGCCAGCCGTTGTTAAAGCTGGTACACCGAAGCAGAGGAAACAAATAGAAGGCAACGATGACATTCGCTGTGCATCACCGCCAACAGCCCGGGTATATTCCCGCGCCGAAGAGCCACCAAGGGGCCACACCGATAAAAGTACAAGGTCAAAGAAGACCACTCGGCCCAATAAAAAGGTTTTGAAGGCTCGTGAGGAAGTGCTGAGAATAAAATTGGAACTCGCACAGATCTCATTACAAATGGCTGAAGAAGATGATGAATCGGACGACTATGATGAGGATGGTCACTCCAAAAGTGAGTATGTCCGATCTTGGCTCGAAAATTCTGTAGCCTAACAAAAGCCAACGCAAGGCGCAACCACCGGTGGGGAGGCCCCACTTAATAAAAACATCACAAAGCCACCCCCGGAGGTTGTCGACCTCAGTGAGCCGCCGATGAAGCTCACAAACCAGGATCCCAATGCTGAAAATATATCGAAGAGTCCCGTACCTCAGAAGGCTTGCCAGGACTCCAAGGTTTATGAAGACAGGGGGCTCCTACCTGCTGTATCAGAGCCCGCCTACCAGGATCCCCAACCGGAAGAAGCAACCAAGAATCCCATAATAAAAAGACCTAACCAGGCACCTGTCAGCAATGAAGACAGGGTGCTCCGACCATTCATATCGGAGCTCACGTCCGCTATAGCTGCACTCGCTGATAAACCAAAACCAGAGAGTGCATCGTCAAATACTTTCGCAGCATCAAAAGCGATAATGACACTGCCGAGCTTTAGCGGAGCACATACTGAATGGCTTTCGTTCCGTGCCATTTATGAAACAACCCGAGGCTACTTCAATGACATAGAAAATACTGCTAGACTACGAAGAAGTCTACAAGGAAGAGCCTTGGAAACAGTTAGTTCGGAACTCATCGGGCATGCTAAACCAGATGAGATTATGCGAGAACTGGAGCTACAATTTGGGCGTCCAGATTCAATCGCGCAAGCAGAAACCGATAAATTACGGGGATTGCCACGCTGTACAGAGGCACCCAGAGATATTTGTACATTCGCGAGCAAAGTGAGGGGAAGCGTCGTCACACTTCGAGCACTCAAGCGAGACCATTACCTCGTTAACGCAGAGCTGCTACGACACCTCACAGACAAACTGCCAAACTCTATACGCGCGCAGTGGTATAGAATTTATACAGAAAAATATGACTCAAGACCAGACCTCGGTTCCTTCAGTGAATTTATCACCGAACAAGCTCGCTACTGTAGTGCATTTGCGCCTCCTGAGATCATAAGCGGAGCGCAAAATAATCGTCCAGTGCATAGGACGCACACGGCTACCACTAAGCCATCTCCGAAATGCAGTGTGTGCGAAAAAGAGGGTCATTACGGATCCGACTGCAACAAGTTTAAAGAGGCAGATATTGATAAAAGATGGCAACTCGCCAAGCAAAGGAATTTATGTTTCCGGTGTCTGCGTTATAGAAGTCAGACACACAGATGCAAAACCACGAAGTGTGGAATAAAAGGATGCAACGCGACACACAATCGACTCCTTCATAATAATAGAAAGGAAAAGACAGAGGGCCCACTAAAAGAACCTCAAGAGACAGTGGCAAACTCAGTCGCTGTATCAAAGCATCAAGCTTACTTGAAGATAATTCCAGTTCGAGTAATTGGACCGGCGGGAGCAATAAACACACACGCTCTGCTGGATGATGGGTCGACAGTCTCGTTAATGGATCAAGAGATTGCCGATCAAATTGGAGCTAAAGGGCGGTTGGACCCATTCAAGATCACAGCTATCGGGAACACTACCCTCGATTCGCCGGACTCCCAAAGAGTCAAAGTGTCACTGAAGAGTCTCCATAGAAAAAGGGTGCCATTCAGAGCACGCACGGTCGCCAGCCTAAACTTGGGGCCGCAGACTGTGCGTGCAACAGACATAGAAAATTGTAAGCATTTGAAAGGTTTAAAGGATCAATTGACATATGATTCAGGCAACCCTAGGATCCTGATAGGACAAGACAACTGGAGACTCTTAATAGCCACACAAGTACGCAGAGGTCCACCGCACCAGCCAATAGCCTCGCTCACAGAACTGGGATGGGTGCTACACGGGGCGCACACTAAAGCCCCGCATCAGCGCGTCCACACGGCCAACGAGCTGTACACGAGCGAGGAGAATATAAATGACCAACTCCGCGAATACTTCGCGCTGGAATCTTTAATGATAAATCCGAGAAAACCAGATTCCGATCCAGAGAAGCAAGCCGAAGAAATACTAAATAGCAGCACCCGTCAGTTGGAAGACGGGCACATAGAAACAGCGCTTCTATGGAAAAATAAAAACATCGAAATGCCTGGAAATTATGAAACAGCGATAAACAGGCTCGTTTCTATCGAGAAAAAACTAGATCGAAACGAAGAGCTAAAGCAGAAGTACAACGAAGAAATGAATTCCCTAATACAAAAGGGATACGCCGAAATAGCGCCAAAGAATAGTACACCAGGAAAGACATGGTATCTACCTCATTTCGATGTCCATAATCCGATGAAACCAGAAAAGTTTCGCATAGTACACGATGCCGCAGCCAAAACAAAAGGAATGGCATTGAATGATTTCCTGCTCACGGGTCCAGACTTACTACAGTCATTACCAGGAGTCATGATGCGCTTTCGCCGACACAATGTTGCTGTCTCCGCGGACATAGCGGAAATGTTCATGCAAGTCAAAGTGAGACCCGAAGACAGAGATGCCTTGAGATATCTCTGGAGAGGAGATCGACGCAATGAGGCTCCACAACAATACAGAATGACGTCGATCATATTCGGTGCAGCTAGTTCACCCTGCACAGCGATATTCGCAAAAAACTGGAACGCCAAAAGGTATATAGAAAAATATCCAGAAGCCGTAGAAGCTATCATCCAAAACCACTACATGGATGATTATCTGGATAGTTTCCAGTCCCTGGAAGATGCAATGCGAATATCGAGGGAAGTACGCGATATACATAAAAACGCGCACTTCACATTGAGAAAATGGGTTTCCAATGCGCCAGAAATCGTAAAAGAATTAGAACCTGACAACGAAACAACCGAGTCAGTCAAACTGGGCGACAAGGGAACCGAGGAAAAAATACTCGGTGTAATTTGGAAACCGAGTACCGATCAGCTGAGCTTCAACCTAAAGCTCGCTCGACTTCCGGACAATTTGCTGCAGAAAAAACCAACAAAGAGGGAAGCGTTGAAAATAGTGATGTCGCTGTATGACCCTCTCGGCCTCGCCTCCCCAGTTACGATACGCGCCAAGCAAATACTGCAGGAAGCGTGGAGACGAGGAACAGACTGGGACCAGGAGTTGGACGAGGACCTGAGTAACCATTGGTCCACATGGATCCAACACCTGGAACGTCTCAAAACAGTAAGCATACCAAGATGCTACCCGGGATACAGCGACGCACGCTCCCTCCAAGTGCACGTATTTTCAGATACCAGTGAAAGCGCCTACGCAACGGCAGTTTACTGGAGAGCAACGACACCCGATGGGCAAGTGTACGTGAGCCTCGTCATGGCCAAAGCGAAGGTAGCTCCGCTCAAGGTAACATCCATACCTCGCCTTGAGTTACAAGCTGCCGTGATGGGAAGTCGCGTAGCTGCGGCTGTCATCCAGGAGCATCACGTAAAGCCCGAAGCTGTCACTTATTGGACTGACAGCAAAACTGTCCTCACCTGGATAAAGAAAGGTTCCAGGAGCTACAAACCTTTTGTAGCACATCGAATAGCAGCAATAGAGGACAATAGTAAAGTGGACGACTGGCGCTGGGTACCCACAAAATTGAATATAGCTGACACCGCTACGAGGGACGTACCACCCAATTTCGACTCTAACCACGAGTGGTACAGTGGCCCATCATTTCTATACAAAGAACCGTCAGCATGGCCGACAGAACGACCCACGTCATCCGAACCTACTGGTGAAGAAAGATCTCTCACCATCACAGAAAGATATAGAGCTCCGCTATATAAAGAGGCCATTCCCGATCCGACGAAATTTTCGAAATGGGAACGCTTAGTGCGAGCTGCGGCCAGAGTGCTTCAATTCATAACACTCTGCCGCAAAACAACCGACAGGACCTTTTATAAAAGGACAAAAAAAAATAGAGAGGAAGACCCCGACTGGAGGAGATCGAAGTGCAATCCGCGACGTCTCGCGCAGCCTCCCAGTCAGGTGAAAAGCAAAGATGTAAACAAATACATCACACTGGAGGCCGAATATATAAGAAAGGCCGAAAAGCTCCTGGTACATGTCATCCAGGAAGACTCCTTCACACAAGAGATAGCCGATCTCCGTAACGATAAGAGGGTCGCCCATGATAGCCGCCTACGACCACTACAGATACAATTGAAAGACGGGATCATTGCGCTACGAAGTCGAATAGCCGCTGTAAAAGGAGTCTCTGAAGATATGAAAGGGCCAGCTATATTGGATGGTGATCATCACATCACCCAATTGTATATTGATTGGACGCATCGTAGCCTGCATCATTGCGGGACCGAACCAACCATCAACGAGGTTCGACAGCATTACTGGGTAATCAGACTAAGACCCACTACTAAAAGAATAGTAAGCCAATGCGTTCAGTGCCGCATAAGAAAGGCACAACCATCCATGCCAGCCACCGGTGATCATCCCAGCACGCGTCTCGCACATCACCAGAGACCGTTCACATTCACCGGCCTGGATTATTTTGGGCCACTCTCCGTAACAGTGGGACGTCAGCATCAGAAGAGATACGTGGCGCTCTTCACCTGCCTTACATCACGAGCTGTACATTTGGAAATTGTGAAAGATCTCAGCGCAGACTCTGCCATACTGGCATTAAGAAGATTCGCAGCGCGCCGAGGATGTCCCACCGAGATTTACTCGGACAACGGCACCAATATGCACGGTGCCGACAAGGAGCTTCGAGAGGCCTTCCGAGAAGAAGCCAGCCGACGAGGCATAGTCTGGCGATTTATAACCCCCTCCGCGCCTTTCATGGGAGGGGTCTGGGAACGGCTTGTTCGATGCGTGAAGACGGCACTATACACCGTCCTTCATGAGAGACATCCGCACGAAGATGTCTTGACCACGCTGCTCTGCGAGGTGGAATATACAGTAAACAGCAGACCATTGACTCACATCTCAGTAGACAGCAAAGACAACGAGTCCATCACTCCAAATCACTTCCTATTGGGAGGATCTGCGAGACTGCCAACACCTGGAGTTTTTAGTGAAAAAGATGCGAACAGCAAAAAACACTGGCGACGCTCCCAGATACTCGCTGACATGTTCTGGCAGCGTTGGGTCAAAGAATATCTGCCGGAACTTCAAAACCGGCGGGAGGCCCACGGTCAAGGCCCCGATCTCCAGGTGGGCGATCCAGTCCTCATAGCTGACAGCCAGTTACCTCGTAACACCTGGCCACGAGGAAGGATTGAAAACATATACCCCGGGGCGGACGGACAGATCCGCACTGTGGAGGTACGCACAGCGAATGGACTAATCAAGAGGCCAACCAGAAAACTCGTGCCGCTGCCGAAGTAGAGGCAACGTCTCTCACCGAAATTATGCAGCGCCGCTGCGACGGGTCTTCGCGACGCTGCACGGCGGGAGAAATGTTCGAGACGGCCAAAATGACTGTTCACAACGGCAAAAATGACTTTAAACGAGAAAGTGATTAAGGAATATTTATTTGTTTAAAAAATGAAAATACGGAAAAATTGACTAAATAATGTATTAAATATAGTTTTACCATGTATTTACAACTCTCAATATGTTTGTATAGAAGGTCGATTTGACAATAGTTAATATAAACAACTTTATTTTGTTTAAGAAAATATCGACCAATCACAGCGCGCCGCGCTATAGAACTTTCTGGAAATTTAAATTAACTGCGTAATAGTTTTAAGCAAAAAATTAATGAGAATAATTTTATGTCTGAAAAGAGTTGTAAATATGGTATTTAGTTAGCATATGATGTATAGATCGTTATAATAAAGAAATATTTTGTATAATTAAGCACGATTTAAAAGTTATAGGATAATTAAAGAATTAATATGACCAATTAGTGTAAAAGTTTAGGACATTTCAATGAATAACTTTGTTAAATGTAAATATATTAATTATCCTTTATAGCATACTAATGTAGAACAAAAATGTCTATTTAATGATGTATAGCATGTTAGAGTTAAGATTTGTATTATATAGAAAAGTTGCAATTTGTGCCATTTGCATAAAGAAAAATGATTGAAAATAAAGAGGCAAATGGGAATTGGCAAGCGGCTCTCTATAGAGTATAGCCGAAGTCTACCTTATGGGGGCAAATCACAGTAACATTGTAGTAGGAAGAACTACCAGTAACAAGCAGCAGTATCCGGTAGTAGCTGAAGTGACTAGTAGCAGAACACAGTGAAAAGTTAAAGTGAAATAGAAAAGTTTAGCTAGCCGAAAAAGGTCGTAACTGAAAAATCGCAGTTACACATAGTCGGAAAAAGTGGCAACTGAAAATTCTCAGTTGCACATAGAAAAATAGTGTCAGCTAGCCAAAAATAGTGGTAACTGATATTCGCAGTTACATATAGTGAAAAAGTGTTGGCTAGCTGAAAAAAGTGGTAACGGAAATTTCGCCGTTACATTTCGTGAAAAGTGTTAGCTAGACGGAAAAAGTGGTAACTGATATTCGCAGTTACAAAAGTGTTTAAATTCAACTAATTTTAGTTGATTAATAGCTGCTAGTCAGTAGTGTTAGAAAACCAGCTGCTACCAATAGAAATTTTGGATACTACCAATAGAAATTTGTTACTTTCAATAGATATTTAAAATTACCAATAGAAATTGTAGAGAATACCAATAGGAACTTGTTACTGCCAATAGAAATTTGATATTACCAACAGATATTTTAAAAATACGAATAGAAATTTTAGAAAACCAATAGAAATTTTAATATTATTGTGTGTTTAATTAAATCTGTGTTTTAAAATATATAATGAACAATCATAGTTGAAAAATAGTGATAAATAAATAACAGTGTAAAATCTCGCGACAAATAAATTAGTCGATCCGCTGGCCACTCCCTTGCTATTTTAATTTACAAATCGTGCATTTTAATTTTGAACCTCAGTCCACAGTTTATCCGCAGCAACCGAAGAGACGGCAGTGAAAGACGGCAGTTGGAGGAGTCTGGAACCTACAGGTGTAGGACGTGAGCGACTCGCGGGGTATCTCCGACAACATTTACTCCGGAGAGTTACGCCCGTCCGGCACAGGTACAAAGAAAAAAGTCTATTTGTGAGGTCGAACCACTACTTTTGTAGGTTATGAAGTTTTCATATTTTTTTGGAAGTAAGTGTTAAAGATCGGGAGATCAAATTGGGTCGCTAGATTTATTATATCCCGACCTTGGCTATTAGAGTTGCCATATCCAAAATGTCCATGTATGTTTGAGTTTTCAGGTGCTTTCATACCTACATGGCCATTCGAATCCCCTGCTATAATTTTTTTCTCGTCTAAAGGTATGGTTACGATAAGGTCTTCTAGGTTTCCGCAGAACAGATCCTTTTCTTCATAACTACATCCAACTTGAGGGGCAAATACTGAGACTATGTTTAGCGTTAATAAGTTGTCCAGAGCTAATTTAACGTACACATAATTCTATCGCTTCTTCTTTCTACTTTATTACTCGTTGTTGTAGTATTTCGTCGAGGATGATGCCGATTCCGTTCCTTGTCGTATATGTGCCGTTATACAGAAGTTGATAGTTTGTACCAATATCCCTGGTTTTTGACACTTTCCATTTAAGTTCTTGTATACAGCAGATATTAATATTTCGTGCATGCAATGTGTTTGCTTGTTCTTGGTTGCGTCCAGTTAGGGAACCGATGTTCCATGTAGCTATACGCAAATTATTTGCACTGCGTCTTCTTTCGTCGCTTACAGGGTACGCCTTAGCATTTTTCGCTTGAGATCGTAACTGGTCGTCGCTTGAGTGGTACGCCTTAACCCTTATACTTTCTCTTTTATGTTGTGCTTTCATACTAGGAGAATGTTTTGTTTTGGTAGTATATTTTTGCAGCCGGCTGCCACCTGACGCCAAGACTGTCACCTCCTTCCGGGGTGAGGGCGCCGCCGTTGACTCGTAATGAGTTCTTCCGCCGCCGTCCCTTCTATAGTGTTCCTGCCTAAACACTCAGCACTGCTCACGACCTTAACTCCGAATATGTTTAAGCAGCCTGTAGCAGGGATTTGATAACGGAGTTTCTTTCTCCGGCCTGTTGGTCCGCGGGAGGTATTTTATTTTCCACCTATCCAGCTGTGGCGCCGAGCGTTCCCCTATCCGCCGCCTGGGGACGCGCTCTCTAGGTGTGAGGTTCACCCGAGAGGACTGTCAAAACTACTTGTATTTTTTATCGAAAATCCCAAGATTTCTACAGCAACGGCATTATGTCACTACCTACAAGGTGGCAACAAGTTATCGAACAAAATGGCGCTTATTGTTTATATATTATAATTAAATGTAATTAAACATAAAAAAAGTCTTGAATTTGTATATAAAAGAAACGTTTTCCCTGATCCTTTATTATTTTTTATAATATATAACAATATTGGTTATTATAAAGTAACTAACACGAATGAATAATAAAGACAGTACAATTTTGTACCTTAATCTTCGCACTTTTGCGATTGTAAAACTGTTTTGTTTTATGGTGTTTTATGGTGTACAACAAATAATATTCCTACCTCTTTGGGTATTATAATTAATTATACTTACCAAGAAATCCGTAATCTCTGCCTACCCCTCTAGGTAACAGGAGTGAGAATTTATGTATGTCTGTATGTTTAATGTGTAGCATCTGAGTCAGTGTCGATGTCAGATTCTTAATTTATTACCCGTGATTATTAAGAAGGCAGTATTGTTAGTCAGTTATCATTTCCAACTTTAAATCAAATTTAAATCTCAACTATGCAAATAACTGAGAGAAAATGGGGTTGGAGTTGCAATCGTTTGAAAAAAAGAACTGCCAGGGGAAACTCAAAACAGCCTAGAATGAATGCTATACGAGGCGAAAATGGCTGCATGTTGAATAATGAAGTTTCGAATTTAAAGAGATAGAAGGAATACTTTGAAAGCGTGTTTAAGAGTGAAGAGTCGTCTGAAGTAAGTGAAATAGAAATTCCGGAAGAAGTGGAGAGAGGTAGGGAGATAAGTGTAAATGAAATAGTGAAAGCAATGAAAAGCATGAAAGCAGGTAAGGCAGCCGGATATGATAGAGTATCACTCGAAATGCTAAGGGCTAGAGAGGGTGTGGTTGCAGGCCTGCTGTACACCTTGTTTAATTTATGTTAGGAACTGAAGCGGGTACCGGAAGACTGGTGCAAAGCCGTTATAGTCCCAATATATAAGGGAAGTGAGTCGCAGCAGGACTGTAAAAACTACCGTGGTATCAGCTTGCTTAGCATTGTGGGTAAACTGTTTGCTAAGGTGTTAATTGAAAGAGTTATGGAAGAAACTGATGGAAAAATTTGGAATGTGCAAGCTGGATTTAGAAAGGGGATGGGGTGTACGGATCAAGTATTTTCCATGCGCATGATTGCGGAGAAATTTTTGGCCAAAAACCAGAAAGTTTTTTGTGCGTTCATGGACTTGGAAAAGACTTATGACAGAGTGGACAGGAACGTGTTATGGCAAACACTGACCTCATTTGGGTTGAGCGCTCGTCTGATACAGGCATTAAAGTCTATTTATAGGGACTCTAGTGCTTGTGTCAGGATCAACGGGGCCTACTCGGACTGGTTTGGCATTCAAAAAGGTGTCAGACAGGGTTGTGTAGCTTCTCCGTGGCTGTTTAACCTATTTATGGACAGTTGTTTGCAAACTTTAAAAGTTGAAGAATGTGAGTTGAGAATGGGTGAGTTAACTGTCAAATGCCTTTTGTACGCCGATTATCAAGTCATATTTGCATCATCGGCGGCCGAGTTGCAAATGATAGTTAATTTAATGAACTGGTCATTAAAAGAAAGGGGTATGAAAGTGAACGCAAGTAAGACGAAAGTGATGGTTTTTGAAAGAGAAGAAAGTAAAACGTTATGTGAAATAAGAATAGAAGGTGAGTTGATTGAGCAAGTAGATGAGTTTGTATATTTGGGATGTTTATTTAGCAGGGATGGTAGATATGACAAGGATATAGAACGACGAGTGAACACAGGAAATAGAGTTAATGGGACTCTACACGCTATTATGAAGAGTCAGAATGTATCAAAGAAGGCACGTATGGCAATTCATAATGCTGTGTTAGTCCCTACTTTAATGCATGGTAGTGAAAGTTGGGTATGGCAGAAGAAGCATGAGAATAGAATAAAGGCTGTATAAATGCGGTCATTACGGAGTATGCTAGGGCCGAATCTGAATGACAGGGTGAGAAATTGGGTGATAAGAGAAAAGTGTGGTGTGCAAGATGACGTTGTGACTAGGATTAAAAAAGGAATGCTTCGGTTGTTTGGTCACGTAGAAAGAATGAACGAGGAAAGAATGACAAAGCAAATTTATGTTTCAGAAGTGAACGGCAAAGTCGGGAAGGGACGCCCTAGACGAAGATTTATCGACCAAATCGGCGATACATTGAAAATGGGCCAGATTAGGAGTACCCTTAACCGACGAGCGTGTATGCGTAAATATATGGTAGTAAAGGAGGCGAGAGAAGTGTGTCAGGATCGCGCCAAATGGAAGTCCGTAGTCTCTGCCTACCCCTCTGGGTGACAGGCGTGAGCGTTTGTATTGTATTGTATTGTATAAGAAAATAGCTTACTCCTTTCTAAAAGGCCGGCAACGCACCTGCAATTCCCCGGGTGTTGCAGTTGTTCATGGGCGGCGGTAGTAACTTATCATCAGGTGAGCAGTATGCTCGTTTGCCCCCTCTCCTATTAAAAATACTTTAAAAAAAATCATATTTTATCAAACACTAGCAGGTACCCAGCGCGTTGTGGCCGCAGAAGAAATAATTGTAGCTATATCATTTTAAAATTGGAAGACTTATATTGTTTAATTAGGAATGATAACGATGATGATATATAACTTTCAAATAAATTTGTCGCTACGATACGCGTGCCACCTACTCTATAAGTAAATTGTATTATTCCTATAACCTTCGCGCAAATGGATGCAATAAGTGAGCAAAGTTTTAGCGCAATTTGATGAACGTAATGGCAGCGCATAATATACGAACAAACAAAAATATTTTTTTTTTGTGTATTAGATAAAGTGTGAATTACAAAACATTTCTATCATACTAAAACAGAAATATGTAGTGAAAATAGTTTTATACCATTAAAGACTGTATCTAAACTAACTTTTATCAAATAATATCATCAAAAAAAACTGTGAAGTGAGGAATTTTTTTTATAGGATAGGGTGACAAACGAGCACACATTCCACCTGATGGTAAGTGGTTTATGTGACCCATAGACATCTACATCTGTCCTCAATAAAGACTCAAGATGCAGATGCGTTGTCACCCGTGAGGACTAAGATGGAATGCCTCTTTGCCAGTAAAAAGTGTCTCCGGTTCTCTACACTCACCATACGAAACACAGCAGCGTTAAGCTGCTATTTTAAGCTGGTTTTCTGTGAGAGCGTGGTCCTTCCCCGGTCGAGCCGACCCATTCGTGCTACAACCATAATATAGCTGCAGCGTGGCTCTACTACGTAGATTAGTGTATTATATATCTTCATTAAACTCAACTTACATCGTTGGCAGCTAAGAGCAGCCTGTGATACCTACATATGTGCATAGGTATTACAGGCTGACCCGGGAGCTACCGCTCAGATAAACGTCCGAGTATCAAGTAAGGTCTTTCCATTTTTTTTCTACTTTCTGCATCAACTTCTTCCCACATATCATGCATAAGTTATTGGAGCGCATCGACTACTTTACGGTACACTTTAGCAAAGACAGCTTCAGTTGCCGGACTCGGGACTTCATTGAGAATAGGGTCCGAGCGCTAGGTGACTTGTGGAGTGCGTTCGAACCCAATGACAGAATTCTCGCAAGTCACGAGGACAGACAGTATGAATACTTCGGCAAAACATTTTTGCTCGTATCAAGGAGTATTTTGAGTCTACGAGGTGTCTAATATCCACGTATCCCCCTATAACACCTACCCCTAAGCCCAGTAACCATCCGGTAACGAACGAGCAATCAAAAATCTAATTTGAAGTGCTGAAGGTATCAATGATCGATAAAGCTACCGTACCCTGCGGAGAATAGTAAAAGAATTACTGTCGCAACTGTAGTATATTGTGGGTAGATTGATATTTTGTGTGGATACTGTACCTTCATAAAAATAATAAATCAGTGTTGAACCAGCTAGCGTTTATTTTATTATATAGTGGCAGCGGTGTTGAAAATAAATTACATAGTTAATATAAAAGTAACAATGTTGATAAGGGAACTTATTTCTGACGTAAGTTGTGTACTTTGTGTAAAAGTAAGTGATGGAACATGCGCGAACTCCTGTAGAATTAGTGCTCGAAGGCGGCCCCGCTGCTCGAACAGACTCATGGCGCTAGTGGCGGAAACTATTTGAGGTGTTTCTTAAAGCCTCGGGAGTGGCTAAAGAGGAATTTGACCTGCTCAAAATTCAAAAACTTTATTAAACTAAGTTTGTATAAAAAGGGTTATTATAATATTAAAGAATTTATAGATGATAATAACCCCTGGAAATGAGGTGATCGCTACCAAGCTATTTCTAATTTGTTGTGTTGTTAATTTGTGTAACATACATGATTGTAACCTGTTATTTAAAAAAAAGTCCCGCTGGGTTTCTTGCTGGTTCTTCCCAGGACAGAGGTTTTTTTCGAACCAGTGGTAATTATACAAAAGAGTGACTTTCAATAAGTATTATTTATAATCTATATTGAATAAAAAAGTGTCTGTTTCTGTTTCTGTTTCTTCATGTACTGTACATCAAAAAGGTACGACTTTCCATTGACGTCAGTGAAGTTTGGTGTTGTTCGAAAATCGATTTTTTGTGAACCGA